ATTAAAAGAACATAGGTCCCACTTGATATATAAATTAATAATCTCATTATACATCAAAATTATGATTCCAATCAATAAATTGAGTGTACACACACACACATGGTCAATTTATTGATTGGAATAAGTCATCTTAGAGAGCCTTTATAAAATATAAGCCTAATGTTACTTGTTTTTTCTTAAAATTGATGTCCTTTAGGACCTCATTTTTAACTATTTTTAGTGGATTAAGAAGCTCTTGTATAGTGTTCTTTGGACCTATGAGAAAATTATATAATGTGATTGTTGTTTTAAGTGCATCTTTATGTAATATAGGCTTTAATACAAAATTATCACCTTGAACTTCATATTTTTTGACATTTCTTATAACATTCTTAATAATTTACTTGTTACTCAACAACTTTGAAGTTGCCTTATTTTCTCTTAAGTAGTTCAAAAGCTAGTGAACATTCATTATATCATGAAACTTCAACTATTTGATTAGAATATGTAATTTTTGAACACTTTAATTATCTAAATATTGATCCAGATTCTTTGAAGCCTTGTTATCCATGAACCTAATTTTACATTGTTGAAAATACTATGTAATTATACTAGCATGCACATATATTGTCCAAGTTAAGATTGCAAGATTTATTGTATCTAAAATATTTATCTTCTCGAGATTTAGGATCTTAATTTCATAATCCTCTAAAAAATTTAGATACAATTAATGATGATAATGTATCTTAAAAACTAATATAATATTCGTATCACAAGGCTGAATCTATGATGTTGTGTTGGATGGCAATGAAAATAATTGATTATTTTTTAAACCTTTAATAGCTTTTAAAGAAGTGAGACAATTATCATAAGAAAGAGAATTTTTCTACCATTCATTTTTCTATCAAGTTATCAAATATATTCTTGAAATCAAATCCTAGTCATCCATGTTTATTTATTGACTTAATGCCCGTAGTTTATATTTTTAAGTTCACATTCTTGAAACATTATGGTTTAGTATAGTTACTAATAAACCATAAAGAAATTTTCTCAAAACCATTTTTATTACAGGAAATCATAATTGTAATTCTTTCATTGTCTTGTTTCTTACCTTCCATTTACGTTGTTGCAAAAGAATGATTTGGTTGTAGTCTATAAAACAATCATGTTTCATCTATAATGAAAACATCTTTCATGTTAAGTTGATCTAGTTTTTCTATATGAACTGTAAATTGCTCTCTATAAGTTCCATATCAACTAATTTTTTTTTCTCTAAAAAGATGACATATCTTAATGTTGTGTCTTAATTCAAAGCGATTGAGCTAACCTTGAAAAAATTAGAATTCTAAAGTATCTACATGGTACATCTTTTTTATAAACTCATTTTCCTTCTTCGTGACTAGTTCTCCAGTTATATTCATATTCTCTTAGTATTAAACGACCAAATCATAGAGAACCTTCTCTAGTTACGAGAATTTAATAGTTTTGTGTTGTTTGACATCATGCTTTTCATTATTAGTTTATAGATACTCCAATGATGTCTTGGTCCTATTTGATATTGCTCCTTAGCACATGTGTAAATTAAACTTTTTTTATACCAATACAGATAAAAATAAGACTAGAAAAACAACAAACATAATAATACAAAAATCTGCTAAAAAAAGGTGTCTATACAAAACCCTTATTCATAAATTTCCTCTCTAATCTATTTTTTTTTTTAAAGAAGTTTACAACTTCTTAAATAGGCTAGAAAAAATCAATCTTTGTAAAGTAGGAAAATAAAAACCCTAAATCAAATTGGAAAAACAACATAAATTGAACTTAAAATCCAAAAATAAAAAAAAGAGCAATTTTATTATAGAATTTTCTTATTTAATCTAGTTTACCTTATAAGAGGTTTTAACTGCTTAAATAGGTCAGAAATTGACCTTTACAAGGTACAAAAATTAGAATCTTTAGTGACATATAAAAGAAAACATATAAAAAAAATATTTTACAGACCTAATTAGAGAATCTTTTAATAGCTATAACTAATTTTCCTCTCCATAGAACTGGATGTTTAGAATCATATGAAAAAAAAAATTCAAGCATGACTTAATAGATATAAAGTTATGGTTGTTTTTGTCAAGTTATGCATTTGATCAAATAAGTCTTTTTTTGTTCAACTTGGTCCAACAAGTCTATAAACGAATCTATTAGACGCTCTATGTAATCTAGTTGTGGTAAATTCATAACTAACTATTCAAAACTATTAAATTGATTAGACTTGCCTATATTAGATACTATATGTTAGTTTTGTAAATGTTTTTGTTTCACTTGATATTCATAAAGTATATTAATTAATTTGTTGTAAAAATAGATAGATCTATGTCTTCTATTTAATAAAAATAATTACATTCATGAACTTGTTTGGTTAAACAAATACATAGTATAATAATAATAATAATAATAATAATAATAATGATAATGATAATAATAATAATAATTTTTAATTTGGTAATTAGATAATATTCATACAATCACAATATACAATATATGTATTAAGTTCAATGTTTTTGAAATAAATAAATAAATAAATAATACCTTGATAAATTATTTTTTATTAATTAAATAATATCTCAATTAGTTAATAATGTTCATAAAATACACTACGACTTGAACTAAAAAACAAATTTGAATATAAAGAAATCTAGTTCATAAGAAATTATTTGATATTGTTATTAAATTTGATTCAGTAAGCCAATCTTGAAACCTTTAGACCCTACTTCTCATCTAACTAAAGTTTAAAATTAAATTATGTTTGAGTTGTTCCAATATGATTCAATGGACTTGGGGTTTTGACAACTCAAACAAATGATAAAAAACATGGTTTGGATTCAAAAATAAATTAAGATGACCTTGTTTTTTTTTATATTGAGACAACAATATATCGTATCGACTTAGGTTTTGTGGCTTAATTTGCTAGATTTGTGATCTAGGTAATGGACTCCATTGGATTTAAGAATTTTGTTTTTTAAACTATATTTTACTCAATTATATAATAATAAAAATAGACACTCGTAAAATTAAGTACATACCAAATATGAGGATGTTTATTTGAGACATAAATTAAAATAATTTATGAGAATATATTTAAAATCAAGAAAATATTAAAGGATAAAATTGAAAAAAAAAACTAAAATAAAAGAAAAATGAGAGAGCAAAAATGCAAAAAGAAAAGGGAAAATGAAAATAAAAAAGAAAAAACCATTGTTTTCATTATTTATATAAACAATGAAAAAGACTGATTAATACTTAAAAGTGTATTTTTATCAAGACTTTATATCATCATTTTGTACTTGAAGTATCAAACTTCTTAACTAAAATATGTTTTATAATAATATATCTAATAATATAAGATACCTTTGGTAAATGTTCATTTTAAATGCAGGTATATCACATAAATTAAATGATTGATTGATGAATTTAAGAACTGAAATTGAAAGGACAAAGAGATGGCCAAACTTAGAAAAGAGATGCTGGTGCAGTCCAAACCGGAACACTGTTTGGTAATTGGGTCATATCT